GATGTTCAGCAGCATCTACCAATGGCAAATCAAGAATTCTATGAATCAGCCTTCCCAGTACAGAAATCCCACAGCAGTGAGTTCTCCAGCAAGGCAGCTCAGGCCCAGAGCCCATCTGCCTTCTTTCCTTATCCTTAAAATATGGCAGATGGGAAATTTCTCTTTCCCCTCTGGCATCAGCAGCCAGTGAGGTGTGAGGGTATTTGGTCAGCACTCTTCTTGCTGTGCCCATGCTGCAGATTTAAGGGTAATTGCATTTTCCTGCCTATGAAGCCATGTTCTCCCTTCCCAGGTGTATGACATAACTGAAACTTATTTTTAAAATTGCATCCATTATTAGTTTATGTTGATCTTCAAGTTCTGCTGCACTGGATGTTCCTAATTCAGAGAAAGAAAAATAAGGATGTGAATGTGGGATCTGCATTCACATTGTTTTGTCCTTGCACTGGTCCTGAATATGTTGATAGTTTTGCATTGGTTTGGTTTGGTTTTGTATTTTCCTTTCAGTACAATATTATTTTAGATAAATCTGAGAACACAGCATCAGCAGCATTGCCTGCAGTGTGTCCTGGGGCTCCAGGCACTGAGCCAAAGCTTCTGCCTGTCAGTTCTCAAAGTTCCTCTTCAGCTGCTTTTGTTCCTTGGATCTGCCTTTAAGCTTTTGAACCAGGAGAGGGAACACATTAAATAAAATCAGAGATTAATGTGGTTAATATTTTCTGGTGATTGCATTTCTAGTAACCTAGATTTAAGTTTAATCATTTATCTCCAAGGCAAGTGTTGGGCAACAGTGCTAATGCTTAGTAAAAGTGATAATTTTTTCTTCACTATCATTTCTGGAAAACTGTTGCTCTCACCAAGAGGTTAGAAGAAACAGAGGTCTTTTGTTTGCCAATGTTTGTTGCAAACCTTATCAGTCCTGTAGAAATGTCATATGATCCACTGGTTACAGTTCTGTAGGGCACAACTGCTTTTAGAAATGTGTAAAAACCCCAAATCCAGAACTGAGTGAACTTAGAATCATAAATTTCCTGTCCCAGCAAAAGAACAGTTTGTCTGCAGAAAAAGACTTGAAGAAATCAGGAGATCAAACTGATGGAAGAGAAAAGCCTGGAAAAGAAAGAGTGGAACCCTCTGAATTTTATTTGTGTGTTGCAAATTAAAATAGGGCAGGATAATCTATTTGTTATCAGAGATCAGGGTTGTGGGTTGAAGAGTGTGGTTGCTATTTCTGGCTATGCCATAGCTCTGTAGAATGAATCTGCTCTGCAGGGGTGGATTTTAGGATGAAATCCTTCATCCTCCCAAAACTCAGGGGATTGTCCCTGTGCTCCCAGACACATTGATTGATTATTTGCTGCTATTCAAATGACAGCAGCAATGATCCTTGTGGGTCCCTTCCAGCTCAGGATATTCCATGATTCAAATGAGAGTATTGGAGAAGGTCAGCAGAAATTCCCTTGCCTGCTTTCTATGTGGTTTTCTTTTTAACCCTGTTTATTGTTGTTTTAGCTTTCAGAGGATGTAAGAAAAAATAGAGAAGAATAGAAAAATGTTCACTTCATTTTTTCATCTCAGAACTCTTCCAGCTTCCTTGTCCTCTGCCCACAATACTCAATCCAATCCAACCTCATTTTTATGCCTGACTTCTCACCCTGCATCCTTCAGTGCCTGATCCAGTAAATCATCACTGGGTATTTCTGCTGCCTTTGATGTGTTCATTTGGAGGAAATGAAGCTCATTCCTTTTCATCTTTTCTATTGTCTAAGATACTTGATTAAGAATTAGATCTTTGTGAATGGCTCCTGCCTGTCTGCAAACCAACAGGAACCTTTCATTTTTTAAATCTCTCCCTGTTCATCAATTCCCATGTTCTCCCCACTGTTCTGTTTGTATGATCAGTGCAATATTGGGGGTCTTAAAGATCCAGCACTTCTTAAATATAACTCCTTGATTTACTATTGCTCCTACCTTCCACTTTCTCAGCAGACATTCCTGCTCTGCAGCTTTCAGAATTTAACTCAGTAATCAAATTCCTTTTGCTAAAAGTGAGCCAAGCCCAACTCTCAGCAGGGGCACATTTGGATGCACAGGCTGTGCAATATGGAACAGCTCTGACAGGTGGGGGTGCCCTGCTCATTTCCTCCTTGAACAAGGAAGATCACAATCTTCTCCCCTGACTGCCTGGATATCACCCCAATGCCAGTTTGGCAAGTTTTGCAAACATCTAAAATTCTATATTGGTGGAATGTATTTTTTGACTCAGCTGGAAGATATTTGATTCACCATCCTATTCTCCCTCAGTGCTGTGGATGTGATCCTGGGGGCTCTGGTTTCAGTGGGAGCCTGAAATCCATCAAGGAATTGATTGTGAGTCCTTGTCATCAGCCCCAGCAGCACAGACAGTTCAATGTGCCACATGAAGGGGAGTTTTTAGCACTTCCCTTGAACATAAGAGCCAACTTTTGTTTTTTCTCTTTGCAGATTGGTGCTTCTCTGTTTGCCAGCAACATTGGCAGTGGGCACTTTGTGGGAATAGCAGGAACAGCAGCAGCTGGAGGAATTGCCATTGGAGGATATGAGTGGAATGTAAGTGGCATATATGTCAGGGAAATACTTGGGACATCTGGATTATCTGCAGAGCTTAATCAAACCAGCATTGCCTAGTCATTTAGGATGGTCAAAGTTTGTACTTGGCAATGCTTGTTCTCTGCACAGACCAGTAAGACCCAATGTAATCTAGTATTTAACCTTTCTAAGCCACTGGAAAAGGTGACACTTTTCAGTTGAGGCTTTTTAGAGAGTACTTGAACCAAATAAGTTGGTTAATAAGTTGGTCTCTTCTATGCATATATTTTTAGTACTTTTAAAGTATTTGTGAACAACATTTTCAGACTGCAGGATGCTGGGAAGAATTTATCAGGCAATCCATGGTCATTTTTGCAGCATTTTGCTATGTAGAAATTATTGAAGAGGCTTTGATTTCTTCACAGGCTGTAAGGAATTTTGAACATCCTCCACAAGCATCTACATTCCAGAAATCTTTTCCTCTTTACCTTCTCCCTCCTGTAATTATGCTCGTGTTTTGCTTATGGCTGCAGTACAGGGTAGAGCCGTCATGCATCACTGTATGTATCAGTGACAGACAAATGAGCTTCCCGGAGTGGCAGGGTCGGTGTGAACGGAGACTCCCTGAAGCCCTGCGCCCATTTCCTTGTGCTGTCAGCCGTGAGGGTGCGGCTGACAATGTCCTTGTTGTGCCTCATTCACCCTCGGGGAGGGAATTAGCCATGACACAAAGGGCCCAATGAGCCTCCACAGGTCGATACTTCCCTCGTGTTTACTTCTGGGCAGCGAAAGAATCCTCCCAGCCTGCGGGATTTGGCTTTGTTCCTTAGCAGGTAAATGGTTCTTGCAAATGTTCAAGTGCTGGTATGATGAAACTGTTGAAGGACAAAGCTTAAAATGAACCGAGATGTGCAGTTATCTGTCAGCTCCCTCTTTTTGATTTTATCAGGCCTATGGCAGACCTGATTCTCCTTCTTTTTCCAGCAGAACAAAGCAAATCAAATCAGGACACAAATCTCTTGGGTCCAGACCCTTCTTCAAACATCACTAACATTAATCTCCTGCGAGGTTCCTGCTGGACCAGTATCAGCACACAGGGAACAGCAGGGCTTGCTTGGGAAGCAGCAATGAGCTCTGGGGGTGTTTGAGCAGACACAACTGCAGAGTTCATGACTTACAGTGGCACAGCTAACACACATAACAGAAGTAATGAAAATAATACCAAATTTGACTGTTGTCATCCTTGTGTATCCCTGCTCCATTCAAATTATTTCTATTTTGTATCAGAATGACAGCAGAAGCTGACCAAGTATTTCTTGTCCATCTTACAGTTCTGACCCAAGGGCAGAGCTTAAAAGATACAGTTTAAAAGCCCTCTAAGCCCTGTGGACAAAATACATACAGAGTGCAGCTCTGAGGGCAGGAATTTGTTTTGTGTTTGTTGATTTAAGTATGTACAATTCTATATTGGACAGCATTCCAGCCATTTAAGTCAGCAAACTGTGGCACTGCTAGAAGTAAGATCAGTAGTTCACAGAATACACATGGATACACAAAATATATTATTAAATTGTAATATAACAATACCAAATATTTTACAAATTGCCTGTGGTGCATCCTGTACAGTCTGAAATTGTTGGAAAGCATTCAGCCATGCTGGGCTTGCTCTGAAGAGAGCTGGGATAGTCTGGTGCCACTGCTGGAGTTGGGATTCAATGCCTGAGGGCAATCCTGTAGATGGAGAAATCAGCTGGTCTTGTAGAAAACACATAATCATGTGGGCTTCTTTGGGACAGCTAGCAGGAAACCCAGGCTGCATTATACCTGATGAAGTGTTTAGCCAAGATTCCATCCCCAAATTTTCAACTGTAAATCAAAGGACAGAGCAGGACCTCCTCCCCCCAGACCCCTGCAGAGCCCAGGTTTTTGGGATTTCCCTGGTCTCCAGCTGCTGTTGGCTCTGATAAATGGTTTTGGGAGCAGTGTCTAGAGCTAATTCAGTTGATCTTGTCTTGGCTGCAGGCTCTGATATTTGTGGTGATTCTAGGATGGATCTTTGTACCCATCTACATCAAGGCTGGGGTAAGTCAAACCACTACATTACCTTTGTCTTTGCTGCTCATTTCTGCAGCTCAGGGCTGGAGTGCAGCAAACTCATTATGAATGGCATGAGATCCCAGTGTGCCAGAGCAGCACTTTGTTATTTTTGTGTACTTGAAAAATGAGGATTCTGTGTTCTGAGACCTGAGCTGAGAAGTACTTGGTGCTCTCTCCTTGTTCTCCTTTGATTCCTGGAGCTGCTCTTCCTTCAAACTGCAATTACAGTCTCCTCATTTTGAGCTCCACTCTCAGAGTGTCTGGGTACCAAAAGTCTTCCTCTGATTTGATTTGTGGCTGTTCCCCATTATCTGAAAGCTTCCCTGCCTCCCCAGGTGGTGACAATGCCAGAGTACCTGAGGAAGCGTTTTGGTGGGAAACGGATCCAGGTGTACCTGTCAGTGCTGTCCCTCATCATTTATGTCTTCACAAAGATCTCAGTAAGTCAAACTTCTTCAATTTCTTCCATTCTACACTGATCTAAAGAAAAGAAATGCCCTTTTACAGCATTGCTCTCATAGCTGCTGCTCAACCATTTCAGGTTTGGAGCTCTTGGCTGAATGAACAACTGTAAAAATGTGATTTTGTGTTTTCTTTGTTCTGTCCAGTGACACTTTGTGCTGCAATCCAAGGTTTTTGGTTCCTGGCAGTGTCTCTTGCTGCTTGTTGTGCTTTGTCCTCTTTTTAAAAGTTTTAGGGTTTACTTTTACATTTGCTCTCTTCTAGAAAACATCAGTGTGGAGGGAAATTTGCATTGTATTATGGTCTGTTATCTTAGGGGTCTGTGAAACCCAGGGCAGGAATTTTTGTCCCTAGATTCATATTTATCTGTTTTGGTATCCTCTGGTGGACATGCCATCAGTAATATAGATGAGGGAAAAGAGCAAGGGACAAAAAAAGAATAACAAGAATTAGAAAATGGAAGAGTGGGGAAGTGGAAATGAGGGAAATTGTAACAGCTGAGGTGAAAGGAGGGAAGAGGAGATTCTTTTAATGGGCAAGTGATTGGTGTAAACTTTAAGGTACTATGAAGTTAATGGTTATTAAGCAAATGGATGTGTTTCTGTGGAGTAGTAAAGGGAGCTTGTCTTGAGAGTCCCAAGCTTCTAGGGAAGTCCACAGTTCAGGCATACTTCAGTCTGTTGTTTTGCAGAAGTTGTCATGGCAGATTAGTCTTTGCCCTCTGAATGGGAGCTGAGTGATAATAGTGCAATTTAAGCTAAAAGATTGGCCTTTTGCTCTCATTCTCACATTATAACTGATCCTTAGAGAGGTTATAAATTAAACAGGTTGGTAGCATGAACTGGCCTCAGAGCTGGATTTCTGGATATTTCAGAAGGATTAGAGAGTTTGCTGTAGTTGTGCTCAACTGTCAGAATCAGAACTCCTGGGTACAACACAGAGTTCTGCACGTTCCAGCAGCAGAGAAACTCCTCCAGTCAGAGGCTCACAGCCCTTTTCAGCCCCACATGTTGGTGCTGAGCCTATCAAGGTGTTACACAGGTTCTGAATTTACCATCCAGCTTTGATTTCCAGCCTGTGTCACGCCTGGGGCTCTGATTATGGGATTTTTCACTGTTTCAGTTGGAGTGTCCTGTTTCCAGGAAAAACAGGTTTCTACATTTAAGCTTCCAGTGTGGTCCTGAGGAGCAAACACCCTCTCCATAGCCCAGGATCCATAGAGCAGCAGCAGCAGGGCTTACCTGGGCCCCAGTGTGCTCCTGATGATCAAACACCCTCTCCATAGCCCAGGATCCACAGAGCAGCAGCAGCAGGGCTTACCTGAGCCCCACTCCACCATTGGCCCACCCCAGCTTCCCATCACCCCCTTAATTCCAGGTGTTTGTGGGGAAGGGCCATGGAGCTGGGTCTCTGTGCAGGTGACAATCATGGTGCTCAATTTCCTCTAAGCATTTCTTTGGTTTCCCTCAGCTGCCCTGAGCAGCTCTGGCAGTGTCTGCCTGTCCAGGTGAGATTCCTGCAGTACAGACAGGTCCCTGCACTGCTGCCCCAGGTGCTGCCTTTGGGTGGGCAGGATCTGCCCAGCCCCGATTCCCTTGCTCTGTCTGGCCCAGGCTGGCAGAGCAGGCAGTCCCTGGCGGTTTCAGGAGCTGTCAGGGGAGCTCACAGGAGGTTTTGTGTGCCGTGCTGTGCAGAGCAGGGAGGGAGGGCAGGGCTGTTCCCTGTGGGCTGCAGGGAGCCGTGCTGGGGGGAGAGGCACAAGCAGAGCTCCCTCCCCACAGACACGTTGGAATCCAACACATCCACGTGCTGACAGAGCCATTGTGCTTTACTCCCCCAAGGCAGAGCTGCCTTGGCAAACACTCCCTTGTGATCTCTGGAGCTCTCAGGTTTGTTAGAGAAGGATGGGCTGCTGCCCTGCCCTGAGTGGGTCACACCCACCAGCAATTCCCACTGCCTCTCATCCTTGTAGAAGAGTGGCATCTCTTGCTTCTGGGGTAGTTATTTCATGTGCTTCTTCCTTGCTGGGCTGAAATACTATGGAGTGCACTTGATAAGAGAATTGTAACAATGCTTTCTAGGGAGCAGTATCACAGATCAGGTCGTGTGGCTCCTGCTCTGCTCTCTGGCACAGTGCCACCCCCCGTGAGGATCAGATTCCCTTTGCACACCTCTACAATGTCCTTGCCATTGCTCTTTCCCTGCACATTTTCTGGGGCTTTTGTTGATTTCTTACCTTGCTTTGTGGCTAACCAGCCACCTGACAGACAAGAACATGCTGCAGGGAGTGCCTCCTTGGGATCAGGACACAGGTGATTTTTGAGCCCAAAGGATTTCTGTCATTCAGGGACCTCACCTGTTCCTGCTCCCTAAGTGTGCAGCACATTGTGAGTAGTGCCCAGAGCAGCTTGCAGAGGCTTTTTAGCCATCACTGTTGATGATATTGGTCATTATACCAAAGGAAATGGCCTGGTAAAAATAAAGTCTTGATGGACAGTAATAGACTAAGTTATGACAAGACAAAAAGGAATTAAGGTCTGAATGTTTTTGAAGAGATCAGAAATCATAAACTGGAATTTCTAAATCTGTTACAGCATTTTCTCTCTGTTCATTGTGCATCATTTCAGTAGGAGATCTATGGGCAAAGACTTTCCAGGGAAAGAGGAAGAGAAGAATTACCTTCTCCTAGGAGTGCACATTGCAGGGGGGAGAGCAGGTGCCCCTGCTCTGGCACCCACAGGATAAACTCAGCTGGCACTTGGAGTGGAAAGGAAAGAGTGACTCTAATCAGAGATTAGCTGAAGATTGTCTATAGAAAAGTATGAATGGAGAAACAGGGAGGCAGGAGATTATTGGAAGGCAATAATCTTAGTGGGGAGGAGCAGTGAAGCTGGAAGACACCTCAGCAATTTGAAGAAGCTGATACATTTCTCAGAATGCTCAATAATTAACTATACATTTCTTCGTGGGAATCATTTTAGGCTCATCAATATTTAATGATATGTAGGCTAAACTAAAGCCAAGAACAATAAAAGGAATGTCTGGAACATAGACTAATTAGTGGTGTGAAAAGATAGGAAAAAGATTACCGTAGAGAAACGAGGCAAAGGATACGGTCTGACAGCCACTGGGGTTAGAGCTACAGCTCCTGGTTCCCAGTGCCAAACGAAGGGCTCTAAGAAATCTGCTCCAGAGGCACTTGTGGGGGTGGGAGCTCTGCTGTGACTCCCACTCTGCTCGCAGGAGCAGCTGTGTGCTGCCAGCACAGTGGGGCTGCCCAGGTCCAGCCCCTTCCTCCTCCTCCAGCAGGAAGCAGCGCGAGCTCCTGCCCTGCAGGCTCACTTTGTGTCCCGGCAGTGAAGATGGTTTTACACTCTGGGATCTCCCAGGCTGCTTCCCTCCCTGCGGGGTGTGTGACCCCCGGCCTGGGCCGGCCCCCGGAGCCCCCGCAGGGCTCGGGCAGAGCTGTGTGTGTGTCTGTCTGCCCCAGCTGTGTGTGTCTGTCTGCCCCAGCTGTGTGTCTGTCTGCCCCAGGTGTGTGTGTGTGTGTCTGCCCCAGCTGTGTGTGTCTGTGTCTGCCCCAGCTGTGTGTGTCTGTCTGCCCCAGCTGTGTGTATGTCTGTCTGCCCCAGCTGTGTGTGTGTGTCTGTCTGCCCCAGCTGTGTGTGTCTGTCTCTCCCAGCTGTGTGTGTGTGTCTGCCCCACCTGTGTGTGTGTGTGTGTCTGCCCCAGCTGTGTGTGTGTGTCTGTCTGCCCCAGCTGTGTGTGTGTGTCTGTCTGCCCCAGCTGTGTGTGTGTGTGTGTGTCTGCCCCAGGTGTGTGTGTGTGTCTGCCCCAGCTGTGTCTGTCTGTCTGCCCCAGGTGTGTGTGTCTGTCTGCCCCAGCTGTGTGTGTGTGTCTGTCTGCCCCAGCTGTGTGTGTGTCTGTCTGCCCCAGCTGTGTGTGTGTGTGTCTGTCCCAGCTGTGTGTGTGTGTCTGTCTGCCCCAGCTGTGTGTGTGTCTGTCTGTCCCAGCTGTGTGTCTGTCTGCCCCAGCTGTGTGTGTGTCTGTCTGTCCCAGCTGTGTGTCTGTCTGCCCCAGCTGTGTGTCTGTCTGCCCCAGCTGTGTGTGTGTCTGTCTGTCCCAGCTGTGTGTGTGTCTGTCTGCCCCAGCTGTGTGTGTCTGTCTGCCCCAGCCGTGTGTGTGTGTCTGTCTGCCCCAGCTGTGTGTGTCTGTCTGTCCCAGCTGTGTGTGTGTGTGTCTGCCCCAGCTGTGTGTGTCTGTCCCAGCTGTGTGTGTGTCTGTCTGCTCCAGCTGTGTGTCTGTCTGCCCCAGCTGTGTGTGTGTGTCTGTCTGCCCCAGCTGTGTGTGTGTCTGTCTGCCCCAGCTGTGTGTGTCTGTCTGTCCCAGCCGTGTGTGTGTGTCTGTCTGCCCCAGCTGTGTCTGTCTGTCTGCCCCAGCTGGTGACCCCAGGGGTTCTTGCTGCCAGCTGAGGATGGCGCTCCCTGTGCAGAGCCCCCCATGGGCACTGGGGATGCAGAGCAGCCCATGAGCTGCATGCTCAGGAGCAGCCTCTGATGAAAGCAGAATTTACAGTAAGGCATCACAAGTGCACCGGGGCAGGTTATTCTGATTGCAAACTTGTGTAAATACCATTGATGCCAATTATCTCTAAATCAGGAAGTGATTTAATGGGATTAACGGCCCAGTGTTACTTTGAAACCTGAACAATTCCTTCCTTACGCAAGAGCTAAAGGTTTCCTCTCTTTGCCAACTGCTGTCAGTTCTTCTGACAGGAACTTAAAAATAGAAACCATATAAGATGTTTGCCTTTAATGCAAATGCAGCATTTGTCCTGAGCCAGCAGGAAGAGCTACACCACAGTGAGCAGTGAAGGAAAGGGATTTGTGGAGTGACACTGAAGGAAGAGAACTGTCCTGGAGGTGTCCCACAGTCCACCCTGCACACAGCAGCAAAGGGAACTCACACTCAGTTTTAAGCAGTTTGTTTTGAATCTGTCTCTTAGTGCCTAAGTACTGAGCAGTGAGGTGACTGTCTAGAGAAAACAGCCCTGTTACAAAAGGCCTGGGAGTTCTCTGAGAAGTGTTACACCTCTGGTACTAAGAACTGCACAGTTCTGAGGGGACACTGGCAGGTGCACAAAAATGGCTTCTATTTTCTTTTTGATTTGTATGTGCAGCACTACAAGGGGCAGAGTTGTGCCCTCATCATGGAACTATAATATGTCACCATGAACCTAAACATGGCTGAACCTGCCATTTTTCTTTTCTAGGCTGACATCTTCTCTGGAGCTGTGTTTATCCAGCTGGCCATAGGGCTGAATCTTTATGTGGCCATAATTATCCTGCTTTCTATTACTGCTCTTTACACCATCACAGGTGAGCTTGCAGAGCAGTCTGATAAATCAGAGATGTTGAGGGAGCCAGAAGAAAGAGAAGTGGAGAAAAAGGGAGAAATGAAAACCTGAAAGGGGGGCTATTTATGGTAGTCCTTGAAAGACAGAGGTGGTGAGAAAAGGGAAAAAAAAGAAAAAAAGCATTTCCACTTTTTTGAGACATTTGCCCAGGGCTAACTAATTTGTCCTGACTTCTCTGCCATCAGGTGGCCTTGCAGCTGTGATTTACACAGACACCCTGCAAACATTCATCATGGTGTTGGGATCCTTTATTCTCATGGGATTTGGTGAGTAAATCAGATTAATTAACTGGAATGTTCAGCCACAAATCTTGCATTGGCTACAGGAATGAATCCTGCAGTGTGAAACTGTTACCTTAACCTGGAGGTTTCAGCTCCTGTATCTGTTTATCAGGGAAGAAAACAGGCATGTTGCCAAAAGTCAGGCACCTTTAGTTACTGAGTTGCTCTGTCTCCCAAGCACAAGTGAATGTGTAAGGTAACAAAGAGCATCCCATGACGGGATTTTTATGTCCACATCAAGGAGGCTTTTCCCCTGACACTCTCAAGCTCTGAGATTCCAGTACCAAATCCTTTATTGCTCCTGTTCTTTCGTGTGTTCCAGCATTTGCTGAGGTGGGAGGCTACGAGGCCTTCATGCAGAAGTACATGGCAGCCATTCCCTCCAACGTGTCCTACGGGGGCACCCAGGTGGACCCTGCCTGCTACACGCCCCGCAGGGACGCCTTCCACATCTTCAGGGACGCCAGCAGCGGGGACCTGCCCTGGCCAGGGCTGGTGTTTGGCCTCAGCATCCTCGCCATGTGGTACTGGTGCACTGACCAGGTAATGTGGGCCCTGCAAAGGCCAGAGCCAGAGCTCTGTGCTCCAGGGTGATCCTCCCCTGCAAAGCTGAGCCACAGAACTGGCTGTTCCAGACTGGTCAGTGACTTTTCAGTTCCTGGTTTCAAGGCATCTCTCACATGTAGGAAAATGGAATGGGTGTTCTTTCTGGAACCTTCCTGCACACCTCTGCCCAGCAGATACCGTGTCTGCCTCCTTTCTCATTTGTTATGTGTGACCATGTGGGAAAACAGAGAGGTTGTGCTGTGAACACTTAGGAAACCATGGAACAAATGGCCCTTGTTAGACTGGGTCTGGATACCATTCCCTTTTCAGTAATACAAGTTTGTTTCCTATAAATGCAGCTTTCATCTTTGCTTGCATAGTCTTGGGGGGATGTTCTTTATATGTTTGGTCTTTCAGCCTGGAGACTCTCCCCCAGTCATCCTTCCTTCTCTCTAAAACCTACTGGCCAGTTTCCTCAAGAGATCACACTGACACAAGTAAAGAAAAATGTGCTCCTGCTCCTGCAACATGTGAATGTGTCTCTAACAAAGGATCTCTCTGCATCCTGAATTGTGAGAAAGATCATCTTCATGATTTCTCAAGAAATTAACAAAATCCACAATGTAACTGTATTTACTGCTCAGTTAAATATTCTATTCCTTTTTGGCTTTTTAGTCTGTCTGCTTTAAAAACCTTTTGTGAGAGAAGTCTTACCCCTCAAACACACACCGGATAAGAAATACTTTCCTTTACTTGTTTCAAACATATCCTTTGATTTTCATGTAGTTTTCATTTTTCCTAGTGGTAGAAATGCTAGACAGGCTCTTTTGCTATCACAGAAGTTAAGAAGTACCTTGCATGTGGCACATGGCATGGTGTGATCATGGAAATGTTACAGCTGCCACTGTCATTGGCAGGTTATTGTGCAAAGATGTCTCTCTGGCAAGAACATGTCCCATGTGAAGGCTGGCTGCATTGTGTGTGGGTACCTCAAACTCTTGCCCATGTTCATCATTGTGATGCCTGGCATGATCAGCAGGATTTTGTACACAGGTATGATATGGATATGCAAATGCAAAGTTCTTGCTGCCTGCCTTGCATTGCCAATCTCTGTCCCTTCCAAAGGACCTGTTGGATTGTCATCTTCTCATCCAAATAGTCCAGGCACCTTCAGCTAACTGCACTGTGAGAAGCCACAGGCTTCCTCTTTTCCCTGATCCCAGGTTTCTGCTAATACTGGTGCTGTCTGTTTTAGGGGAAAGAAATTCCACAGGGTCCCTCCCCAGCTGTCTGTTTGCTACACACTCTGACTGAATGAGTGGAAAATGCTGTCCAGGACAGATATTGTGCTGGCAATTGGAGGGACAGGGCCATCAGTCACAGACTGCAGGATCTGGGCCATGGGCAGTCCCAAGGGCAGCATGGGGAAATGCCACCTTCCCATCTCCCTGACCAGCAGAGAGTTTGGCTGTGTTTGGCAGCAGGCAGAGGAGACAGGTTCAGGCTGCAGGGAGTGGGCTTTGTGTTCCTCTGCTTGTTTTTCTCCTTGTCTCCTTGTGTTGTTCAGCCCTGGTCTGACAAATGAGTGCAGATTTTCTTTTGACCTGCAGCACTTGGCACTATTCTCTTAGAGAGGAAGGGAAGAGGCTTAGGATCACCTTCCTCCCTGCCAGCAAACCAAGGATGAAATCAAATGTGTCAGTCCAGTGGTTCAACATAGAGATAGATTCTAGAAGCTCTGTTAATTTGGGAGCAATCTGTTGTTTACATGACCCTGTCTCAGTGTCTCATTATCCTCTCCTCAGATGTGGTGGCTTGTGTTGTGCCTGAAGTCTGTCAGCGCTACTGTGGCACCTCAGTGGGCTGTACAAACATTGCTTACCCAAAACTGGTCGTGGAGCTTATGCCAAATGGTAAGACACTGTCTGGATTTGTTGTTTCTTAGTTTTAGGAAAGCCAGACTGTAAAAACAAGTGATAGAGGGAGTCCAAGACCCATATTTAGTTCCAAAATTCTTGCTAGAATGATGTACTATTAAGCAAAGGGGTTGTCTGTATTAGCTGTAGGTGCAGAATAGCTCCACACTGACAGTGTCAGCTCTCAGCTGGCACATGCTGTGTGCTGAAATGCTAAATGAGCTCCCTTTTTGTGAAGGTAAAAAATAACCTGCTTGGCCAATGATTTATGAAAGACTCTCTGTGTTGGAGGCCTATTCCTGTGGTCCTCCTGCCAACCCCAAAGAGATGGGTGCTGGCTCATAAGGCAAAAAAACCAGGTTATGATATTACAGAGACCATGGCACTTCCCTGATAGCTTTGGTACTTTCCCATCCATGTTGTTAAAATCCTGCAGTACTTCCCCATGCTCTGTGGCCAGACCACACCACCTGGAAAAGTGGCTTAGTCTGGTTTTCAGACAGTAAAAGAAACTTGGTGGTTTTTGGCACATACCTGGTTCACAAATATACTACAAGCCAGTGAGCACTCTCCTGCAAACAAAAGGAATTATTTTTATAACTGTTGGGAAAAGTCTGCTTAATATTATTTTCTTTTTATTCTAGCATTTAATCAGGTAGAATTCACTAAAGAAGTAGCTACATGCTAAAAGCTCAAGAGTTTCCCTGGCACTGCTGGAAATAGCTTTTTGCAAGCTCTGCTTGCCCAGCAAGGGAATGCCAGGCAGGATTTTGTGTCAGGCACATCCATGTGCCAGACACGCTCAGAGCTGCCCGATGGAAAGGGTCGGGCAAAGAGCTGCAGCCGGGTTCTGAGGCTGCCCCCGGAACGCTCCTCCCTCCCCGTGCCCATCTCTGTGTTCCAGGTCTGCGGGGTCTGATGCTGTCAGTCATGCTGGCCTCCCTCATGAGCTCCCTGACATCCATTTTTAACAGCGCCAGTACTTTGTTCACCATGGACATTTACACCAAAATTCGGACGCGGCCATCGGAGAAGGAGCTGATGCTGGCGGGCAGGTGAGGCCCCCCCGCTCACCCCGAGCGCTTCCCGGAGCTCTCCCGAGCCCGGGCCCGGCTCAGCCTCCCCGGCCGGGCGGCACCAGCTCCCGGGGCCGAGGGGCTCCTCTGGGGACAGCACCCCTGCTCCCGAGGAGCACACCGAGTGTGCAGGGAGAGCTAATCCTCCCTGCTCCCCGCTGCTGCTCGAAGGAAAATCTTTTCCATTTCCTTCCTGGGCTCCGTGCTGCACCAGGCTGCAGCATCAATGAGCTGGTTCCAGTTCATCTGCTATTGATTTGTCTCTGGACGTAACAACCACAGGAGAAAAGTGATTTTGTATGTTCTGATTGCATATTTAACCATGTGCTGATGGATATTTGACGTACACACTACCCAACTTGGATTTCTTTTGTTTGTTCAGTGCTAATTTGCCATTATAATTGATTTCACTAGTTGAAATACAAAATGAACATGTAAATTATTGATTAATTGATGTTCTTTTTTCTTTCTGATAGATCATAGATACTTCTAAGCAGATGGCTAATTGAATATCTGGCTATGTTTACAGGGCATTTATGTTAGTCTTAATTGGCATCAGCATTGCCTGGGTTCCTGTGGTGCAGTCAGCCCAGAGTGGGCAGCTCTTTGATTATATTCAGTCTGTAACCAGCTACCTGGGACCTCCCATTGCTGCTGTTTTCCTGCTTGGTATCTTCTGCAAGCGTGTCAATGAGCAGGTAAGTGCAAATTAGGAAACAGGTATGCCACGTGTTCCTTTAGCAATTGGGAGAAGTGGGGTTTTTTTTGTTATGAGCAACTTCTTCCTGTTTATTTTAATCTCAGTATAGCCCAGGGATTTTGTGTCTCCATACCCCAAAGCCTGAGGTTTCAGAGATGAGTTGGACAAGGTTCTTTCATTGTCTGATAGATAAATAGTCACCTAGGAATTCATAGATAGCTCTGAAGCTTAGGTTCTCTATCACTTTGCCAAGAAGTGTGTTCAAAGGATAATCTATGGACACATAGTTGAAAGTTTCATTTAGGATATTGGTCACCAAGCTGCTTTACCAAACAAACAACCTCCCACCTATCCTGTCCATCTGGGTTTTGAATATCCCCAGGAGCAGAAACTCCACAGTGTCTCTAGGCAACCTGTTCCAATGGTCAAGCACCTTTACAGTAAAACAAACAAACAAGGTTAAACAGAATTTCCCATGTTTCAGTTTGTGCCCACACATAGCTGTGTGTCTGTTACCTTTGGGCTGGAGTACTGTACACCAACAGTACTGGGAATTAAATAATTACACAGGGCCATTAGCAGGTAAACCAGACACACGTTTTAGGAAGGATGACACAACATTCTGGCTGGTTCCATCGTGCCAGAGCTGTCAGGGATTAAGACCTCAAAGGTAAAAAGGTATGAGAAGAGCCCCTGGGGTGTGCAATTGATGGCTGAAACCTGTCCTGTAGAAGGGCAGATTTGTGTGGAGCCAGATGGACTCTGAGAAATGGTCTGGACACAGTCCTGAGGTGTGCCTGACATCTCAGAGCTGTTCATTACCCCTTTCACTTGTACTCATAGACTAAGCTGTGAATAAGGTGACTGAAAGCATCTGGATAAAACCCACATTCCAAAGCCATTGTAACACAATACTACATCCACGTTTCCTCCAGCAGCTGTTTGAGAGCTCAGAGTTTATTTCCATCCCTGAAATGACTCATTTTGATCCCTTCTTGTCACACCTTGTCTGCAGGGTGCCTTCTGGGGCCTGATCATTGGGCTACTGGCTGGACTCAGCAGGATGATTGCAGAGTTTGCCTATGGAACTGGCAGCTGTGTGGCCCCTTCCAACTGCCCCTTCATCATCTGTGGCATTCACTACCTGTACTTTGCACTGATCCTCTTTGGGGTCTCTGCCATCGTCATCCTGGCAGTGTCCTTCATGACCAAGCCCATTCCTGATGTACATGTGAGTATCTCTGATGTACAGTGAGTAACTCTGATGTACATGGGAGTGTCATCACTGATGTACAGTGAGTTTCATCACTGATGTACAGTGAGTATCTCTGATGTACAGTGAGTATCATCACTGATGTACAGTGAGTATCATTACTGATGTACAGTGAGTATCACTGATGTACATGTGAGTATCTCTGATGTACAGTGAGTATCTCTGATGTACAGTGAGTATCATCACTGATGTACAGTGAGTATCATTACTGATGTACAGTGAGTATCATCACTGATGTACATGTGAGTATCTCTGATGTACAGTGAGTATCACTGATGTACAGTGAGTATCTCTGATGTACAGTGAGTATCACTGATGTACATGTATCACTGATGTACAGTGAGTATCACTGATGTACAGTGAGTATCATCACTGATGTACAGTGAGTATCTCTGATGTACAGTGAGTATCATCACTGATGTACAGTGAGTATCATTACTGATGTACAGTGAGTATCACTGATGTACATGTGAGTATCTCTGATGTACAGTATCACTGATGTACAGTGAGTATCATTACTGATGTACAGTGAGTATCACTGATGTACATGTGAGTATCTCTGATGTACAGTGAGTATCACTGATGTACATGTGAGTATCACTGACGTACAGTGAGTATCACTGATGTACAGTGAGTATCATTACTGATGTACAGTGAGTATCACTGATGTACATGTGAGTATCATTACTGATGTACAGTATCATTACTGATGCACAGTGAGTATCACTGATGTACATGTGAGTATCACTGATGTACAGTGAGTATCATCACTGATGTACAGTGAGTATCATCACTGATGTACAGTATCTCTGATGTACAGTGAGTATCTCTGATGTACAGTGAGTATCATTGATGTACAGTGAGTATCTCTGATGTACAGTATCATCACTGATGTACAGTGAGTATCATTGATGTACAGTGAGTATCTCTGATGTACAGTCAGTATCTCTGATGTACAGTATCATCACTGATGTACAGTGAGTATCATCACTGATGTACAGTGAGTATCTCTGATGTACAGTCAGTATCATCACTGATGTACAGTGAGTATCTCTGATGTACATGTGAGTATCATCACTGATACAGTGATGCAGTGAGTATCTCTGATGTACAGTGAGTATCTCTGATGTACAGTGAGTATCTCTGATGTACAGTATCATCACTGATGTACAGTGAGTATCTCTGATGTTCAGTGAGTATCATCACTGATGTACAGTGAGTATCTCTGATGTACAGTGAGTATCATCACTGATGTACAGTGAGTATCTCTGATGTGCAGTGAGTATCATCACTGATGTGCAGTGAGTATCTCTGATGTGCAGTGAGTATCTCTGATGTGCAGTGAGTATCACTGATGTACAGTGAGTATCTCTGATGTGCAGTGAGTATCTCTGATGTGCAGTGAGGATCTCTGCAGTCCTGCTCCTCAGGAGATGGAGCCCAATGAAAGCACCAGTTCATACCTGGAGTGTTACCCCCTGACCCTTGAGCCACCCCCAGCACACAGCTCGTGTAAGAAAGGAAATATCTTCATTTACCTGTGCCAGCTCTTGAGTGGCTCCTCCTAGCCTGGGACATGCCAGCCACCTGGGATGCTGTGCCCTGGAGCAGCTGAGGTGCTGGCCAGGCTCGTTGGTCCCTGTGTGCTCAGCCATGATCAATTCCAGTCCTTTTGTTCTGTGGCAGCTTCACCGCTTGTGCTGGGCCTTGAGGCACAGCAAAGAAGAACGGATTGATCTTGATGCAGATGAGGAGCAGGACAGAGCTGATGAAAAAGATGATGAATCAGGTAACTCTTGAATACCTAGAGATTCTGTCATATATTTGAGTATCCCTGTTTCATTCCTGAAGGAACAATACCATGCTTGATAGTTGAAGGCATCCTCCCTCTCCCCAGCAGTAAATCCTCAGCCCCCACAAATTTAAATGGCTCATGAGCTGCCTTTTCCAATCTCTCAAGCTCAGTGTAAATCAGAAATGAAGTGGATTTGAAGGGAGGAAATCTTAATCTTTTGGTATCTGAGTGGCAGCTCTGGGACTAAACCAAAGGCAATGCTGTGGGTCAGAGCACTGTGCATTGGCAGAGCTGTGTGTGACTCCAGCACTTGGAGGGAATTCACCTGCAAAGAGGGGTTGTGCTCAGGATTGAAGGCACCTGACTGCCCAGATCCCTCTGTCATTCTTTGCTACAAAAATATGGTGAAATTATAAAGGGTATGGCCAGGCACCACGAAAGCAGACTGCAAACCCACTGCTCTCTTTACTGGGTTTCTGGTTCTGCTCCCAAGCTCCTTTTCATCAGTATCCTCAAATTATTTTATTTGTCTTTCAATTAAGAGTGTAGAAAGTACTGAAAAAATGGAGTTTAAGCTTTGAAGCACAGTTTGCTTCTCCAATACCAGGCCAAGTCTCTGAGCTGCAAAAGGCCCAAGTGTCTTCTGCAGAAGGCCCTCTTGGGACATACAGAAAATCCATTTTTTCTAGATGAGCTGTGCAAACACAACATTACTGAGATTCTTGTACTATTTTGTACCAAAATGCTTCCACTGAATTCCGACCATAAATCAGAAGGGGAATGCTCTGTCCCAGAGATCAGTGGGTGCCATGACCTGCACTCACCTTTCCTGACCAGAGTGTTATTCCTTGCAGTTAATGAGGAAAACCAGGAGGAGCCAGGATGCTGCAGGAAAGCTTACAACTGGTTCTGTGGCTTGGACCAACAGAAGGGCCCCAAACTGAGCAAGGAGGAGGAGGAGGCCCTGAAGAGGAAACTGACGGACACCAGTGAGGTGCCTCTGTGGAGGAACATTGTGAACATCAATGGCATCATCCTCCTGACTGTGGCTGTGTTCTGCCATGCCTACTTCGCATAACCCCGATCACAGTCCTGAAATTGGACTGCACTGTTCAAGCAAAGTGATGGTTTGTAGATTTACACAATTAGATACACATTGTATTTTCATCATCCACTTTTGTAAAACATCAGAGTGATTTACTCACTGATTTTGTGATCATAATTTCAACAATTTAAAGATGAAGGCCACTGGGATTTCAAGAGAGAATTTCTGTTTAGGCATTGAACCAATCCAGGGCTAACTGAGGTTCAGAATTTCCATCCAATATTCTCTCTGCTCGTGATACATTTCATATTTTAGGTTCAGAACAAGGCTGCTTGAGCCATACTTCATATCAGGTTTTGTGAACTACCTTTTAGGGTTCGTTACACTGTTTTGATTTTCATCCCTTCCTCTGATCATTCAATTTTCCTTGTCCTTTGGCTATGATAATTTGCAAAAAACTGACAACCACTGAGGGACTGTATTACAAACTCAAATTAAAACATTGCTTTTGTCCCCCCAACATGGGATATCTTAAGTAAAGGATTTATGCACATATCAATGTATTTGATATTATATATAATTTTCCATTATCAGTTTTTCCCCCTTTTTCTCACTTTCCACTGGGTTGTGTTCCTCAGTTGTCAGTGGAACACTAACCTCTGAATGGATCACATTTTGAAACTGGGGAACACCTGTCTTAATGATGCTAAAAAGAATTTTTCTTACAGTAGATTATTTGTTTAAGGTTAACTTCCAAAGCTCCTCCTCTCTTGATATTTTAATATATACCTTTACTTGAATGTGAAGCTTTTTATACAAAATACATGTATTATATATACACAAGCAATACATTATGTATATGCTCTATATATATTATATATATTTAAAATATGTATTTATGTGTGTGTATATATATTAATTTCTTACTGATCAATTCCCAGCCTGGTGTGTCAAGGCCCTCTTTGCTGTGGGTTTGGAGTCAATGTCCTGCCTCTGTCTCTGGTCTGTGCTGCAGCCCAGGCCAGGCCATGATGGAACATCCTCAGCACTGGAGGGCTGGGCTGCATTGTGCACATACATCCAAGGGCTCTCTTTTCTGCAAAGCTATAAATCTTTCCTCTGAAGATTTCATTGAGAAATAGGATTGCTGCTGCATGGCAGCATGAGTTAGCAGTTCAGGAAGGAGAGCAGTCACAGCTGTGGGATATCAGCTAAAGCAGGCTGATTGTCTCGATACGTTTGGTGCCAGCTGGGAACACAGGAAAAGACAGATTGAACACTTCAAAGCAAAAAGCAATAGATCTTCTTTTCATCTCATTCAGCTTCCTGGGGAATCAGGTGTAGGAAGAAGATGCTGGCTGCTCAGTGCCACAGTTCTCTGCTCCTTTTTGCACACCTTGGTGGCACTGTGCTGTCCCCAGGGTTCTGCCTCAGGACACTCCGGGCTGGCAGCAGCTGGAGGGGAAGGCACAGAGAAATCCCTGCAGTGCCACAGCACCCTGCTCTGCCTCCTGGCCTTGCACCACTGCCATTTCTTCATCTCCTGGCAGCATCTTTGCTTCATTGGATGTAACCCCAAATGCTCAGGATCCCAGCAGAATTGCTGCTCTTCAGTGGAGTTGATGCTATTCAGCATAATCCCTTTGCATAGGCCAGATCTAATCAATACCTCAGAAATACCAGTGCAAACCTTAACACAGTGATAGAGCATCTTAAAGACCATGGAATTAATTGTATTTAATGAACAATCAAGATTTGTATGTATTAAAGTAATTGTATGTTTTGAAGTATTTGGTGTCCACAAAGTGATGGGATTTTTATAAAAAATGATGGAAGACAGAGAAACTTCATTTGGTGTCTAGGTTTTGGCTCTGGGTAATAGTAATGGATGAAAAACAAACAAGGGAGATGTCACTGAGGATTGCCCAGATCCCTCTTTGTCATTCTTTGCTACAAAAATACAGTGAAATTATAAAGCTATTTGGATAAAGACAAAGAACCCAAGTGATTTCCTGGCAGTCTGAGCAGCCTTTGGATGACCTCCTGGGTAATCAGGCACCATTGCATGACTTTGCTCCTCAGAACCACAGAGTTTTGAAAATCTAACACACAGTTTCCCAGGGATATTCACTGTATGCCCTCAGCAACCTGATTCATTCTGGTCTGAGGTGGATGTTGTGGAGGGAAGAGCTCAAATGTTTACAAAAAGTTTGACAGCTGCTGTTGACTCCTGTAATTTTGTAGAATTTCAAAGAAAAAAATGCCTTATATTGTGAACAGTTGATAAAATTGTAATGTTTAGCTAACATTAAATGCCAGCTCAGGTTGGTAGCTATTGCATTCATGATTTTAAGGAAGAAAATTACTTTAGTTTTCAGGGGAGCTCTGTCCATGAGCTGTCATTGGGGACAGTCAGCTAAAAGCAGTAGTTTACACTGTTCTGGGCATTGTCCTGCTTTAGAGGTGGGATCTGTGAGCACAGCCTTTCCCCAGTGCTTGATTATACATTGAAAAATATCTGGTTAGTGGTGAGACTCCAAATAAATCCCTGGCTCACAGCACAAAGTACCTGCATGGCATGTACAGCATAACACAGCTCTGTTCCAGGGGATCTGGAGACATCCCAGCTTACCCTGGCAGGTAAGATACATGGTTAAAGCTTATTTTAGTGGATTTTAGTTAGATATACAGAATTATTTTAATAAAATAAAGTAAAATAAAATAAAATCTGCACTTAGTAGCACTCTCAGCAAATTGTGACACTGTTCTGTAAAGAACACGCTAAACAAAATCTTCCATTTTAGAAATACTACATAGTTCTTAAGAAAAATCCTGAAAAAGTGTAATCACTGTTCATTTAATTGTCTGCATCACTCACAAAAATGTATCCAAGTATCTCACCAATGTTTAGTATTGATGATGATGAGAACACCCTGTTCTTAGAACTCAGAATTTGGGTTTATTCCTATTCCATTACTGAAAATCTCAGGCACTGAAATGCCAGGAGAGGGGAGGTCTGGGACTTTTGCTTGGAATCAGTCTGCAGTAGCCATGCTGTGGTTTCAAGCAGCCTGTTTGGCCTTGCTGGGCTGGGCCATGGCACAGGGCTGAGCTCCTCAGGTGCAGTGGTTGTGGTGATGGGAGCTCAGAGCAGCTGGGATTGCCAGGGCACTCAGCTCCCTGCCCTTCCTTAGCTGGCAAAGCCAGGGTGTTCCTGGAGAGTAAAAGCCAACACAAAAATGAGGAGCAAAGCTAAACAATCAGTGCAGGTACTGTCAGTCACTGTATTTGCAGGGCACTTGAGCTCAGTGGTTTGAAGTGTGGAGCCAGAGGAGTTTAGAGCTGCCATTTCTGGGGCAGACTGCACAGAAAAGGGCTGGGCACAGGCTGGGGGTCACAGCAAAGCTGCTCTCAGGAAAGCTGCTGAATTTGCTTTGTGGTCTGGTGTGCCAGCTGCAGGTGTTTGTGCCCTGCAGGCCCCCACAGAGAGGGAAGGGAGCAGCCGTCAGAGACCTTCCCTCCTGAACTGAGAGCCTGTAGTCCCAGATTCAATAACAGCAGGCAGTACACTGCTGAAAGAGATGGAAATGCAAAAACCTTGCTTTGTTTGGTGATTCATGGCATTTTCCCATGGAGTGTGTATTGTAGGCCTGTGCTGGAGAGCCTAAAGGACAGACAAAACTTCACTCACTCCAGTTTCTACTGGCTGTTCTGATGCAAGACAGGATAAGCAGTGCCTCAAGTTATCATCCTTATTATTTATGAAAGAAGTTGCCTTTTTTGTGCCTCCTGAAGAATATTCCTTCTTGCCCTCTAGCATGGGCAGCTGTGAGAAAGAATAATTCCCCTGGAGCTCCTGAGCCCACCCTCCCCTCACCTGGCACAGCTGAGGCCAGAGCAGCTGTGCCTGCCTGGACCAGCACCTCCCCTCCTTTTCTGAAGGTACCTGGGAGAGCTGCAAGCTGAAGTGTGAGTTTCTTGTCACTCTGTGCAGCATTTTTGTTTACAGTATTTAAGTTATACAGCCTATAACTTTAAAGATGTAGCTCATATGCAAGGTATGTTAAAACAAATTATTAAAATGGTTTTATTCATTTAAATTGCAAACTTTGTCTTGCTAAAAAGAAGTCCTGTGATTTGAGCATATTAGCTTTGTGTGTAGCTGTCTCTGCCCTTCTGGTTTAATGTCATTAGCCAAATGTGATTTTCCCAGACTATTTTGTCCTTTGACAAATCTCTCACTATATGATTTTTATGATTTTTTTTGTTAGAAAAGGTAGTGGTGGGAAACAAATTTACTCCCTGCTTTGAAACATGAAGAGATGGAATGAAAAGCTGCCATTTTCCAGAGCAGGACAGAATGGTTTCCACCCCTTGGCCTTCTGAAAGAGAATAGGCACAGTGGAAATGAGTCTGTAGCTGCAAGAACAAAGAACCATAACATTCTTTACCTTCTAGAAACTGTTAGAAACAATTCAAGGTGGCCTCTGCCTGGGTGGGACACCAGAGTGCACAGGGAAGTCTTGTTTCCCATGGATTCAGCTGTCTTGTCTTCTGGTGCTCTGAGGACTGCTGGGCACCTGGTTTGAAAGCTCAGTGTGTGTAGAGTGTAAGTGCATTAATTCCAGTACTGACCTGGGACCATATTAATTATATCTGGGCCTTAATAATTGTTGGCTTCAAGCTAAAAAGCCAAATTGATTTCATTGATGTTAAAAATTTGCCTTGGTGCTAAAACCAGAGACTTGCTGTACACACAGCATTTCCTTTGAAAGGGTGAGTTTAATTAGGGTGCCAGTCCTGAGATGTTCATTTAATTATTTGTTATGTGTATGAAGCAATTCCAAAAGATCTTCAGTATTTTTGTGACCAAGTCTGTGGTAGATTTATAATGGAGCATTCCTGCCTGAAAGCTAAGTCAGTCCAAGGAAAGAGTTCATCAGCTGTTCTTTGATCCAGCCAATTGTTTTACTGACACCTACAGTGCTAATTAATTCCCAGCTTCATGAAATAGGGACTCTTGTCTCTCATCCCAAAGCAGGGAATTAGCCCTCAGCACAGCCTGTGGCTTTTGATTATTATATCTGCAACCACCTTTTTGTCAATAATGCAGCTTTGTAAGTAGAAAACCCCGATTAACAGTGGCTGTCCATGCTCAGACTTCAAATCCTGGCATTTGCAGAGGCAGCACATGGTCAGTACAGCCCAAGAGAGTTCCTGTTGTGTTTGGAGTGTGATGGTTTCATGTTGTCAGGTGAAACAGGGCCAAAGAATTGCTGAGACAAAAGCTGACATGTGGGAGGGCCCCAGTAGTGTCCATAGCTCAGAGTTCACCTGAGGCTTTGTTCCATTTCTGTACTGTAAGATGAGAACACTGATCCATGGAGAGGCTTTTTTGGGAACAGTTGATACTGTCCTTAAAGCATTGATCAGGCAGATACTTGGAACACACTACTTAGGGTCCAAATCAATTCCTTCTAGTCAGAGCAGCTCAGTGTGGATTATTTCTGCATCTGACCCAGCTAATTATTCTGGGACCTCACTGAAGGTGATACCTGTATTATCAGGGAAGGCTGTGACAAGGTTGGACCTGGGTTAAAATGATGATTGTTACCAGATTTTCCTGCAGTTCTGTAAGAGCAGCTGAGCCTGTCCTGTGCTGCTCCAGTCCTTTAGCATGTTATTAAAGCTGCCTGGCTTCTCTTATTGAGTTGGATGCACTCTGGCACCAATATGTATTACGTACGAGTGCCTTATGTGTTTAAAAGGCAGAGTTCCTCCAAGATCCTGCCTGGAGGGAATGAATCCAACTGACTCAATACTTTAAATCACATCTTTATAAGAGAGGAAATTCACCCTTTGGTTACATTATGGAAGAGAAGCATTTTAACTGTAATCACTCCTACAGGAAGAGTTTATCCTGTGTGTAAGGGTAATGCAGTTTGCAGTGTGACCGTGGGTTTGAATGGAAAAGCAGCCCTGACAAATAACCCCTTTTATAGTCCTGATGCAGCTGCTTTGTAGCTACAATTCTGGATATAAAACTCCCATGTGAGAACAAAACCCAAGTGCAAACAAATGGGACTTGCTGTGAAGCTGTGTCAGCCCCCCTGTCACATCTTCCCTGGTGGCTGAGAATGGCCAGGGCTGTCCTGCTCATTTGTGTTATTTCTTTGCCCAGGTCTCCTGTTGAAGCCTCTTAAATTACATTCTTGTAACTGCAGACAGAAATTTGCAATATGTCAGTAGAGACCAGCCTTGAAGTCCCAGTGAAGAAAATGCTACTGAAACTTCCCACCACTTCCATTGCCCACAGCTCAAACCCTGAGGTGCTTTTGTTCCCTGTTATAAGCAATTCCAATTAGGGACCACAGCCCTCTCCTGTTGGAGAGGCCCCAGCACAGCTTTACCAAGGCTTTAACCTGGTAAAGGCTTTCTGACTTTGCTCTTAATCCCACGTTCAACAAATGTTTGCAGCAAAATTCATGTGAGTTCCTGTTGTTAGATCAATTTGCCAGTAAGGACAAACTGCTGGAGGGGTTAATTGTGAACCTTTCTAATATAATTAATTATTGATTAGTGTTTGATAGGCTGAGGTTTAAAAAAGGAAAGGAGAAAACATTATGAAGAAAATAAAAGGGGTTAGTGTCTTGTATCATAGGAAAATCTTGGTAATTTGGGCAATAACTCCTAGTGGAGAATTCCACACTTCCTAACTTTTCTTCTCCATTTTTCTGCTTGTGACCTGCAATATAGATGTGAAACTGTTGCCAAATAACTTTTCAGGACAAACTGACCCAGAGTAAGTAAGGAAGAGAGCTCTGGGGTGCTGAAGGTCTCATGTAATCGTGTACCTTTACAGCCAGACAACAACAGAGGGCAATAGATCTCTAGAAAAGATCGCGGCTGCAGAAGGGTTTCCAGTCGATCGCGGTGATGGCGATTTCGGCCGCTCTTTGCACGGCCTCGCTGGGATCCTCCAGACACCGCTGAAAGGTGTCCCTGTGCTCCAGCAGCGCCTGGCGGCCCTCGGGCAGCTCAGCCAGCAGGGTGAGGGCTTTGATCGCATTCAAACGCGCTTTGCTGGTTTCCTCAGCAACCAGCGCCAGTAAAGGTGGAATGGCTTCAGCACCCATGGCTGTGGATCTCCCTGTAGGGAAATAAAGTGGCTTTGAAATGTGTAATGACATCTACTCGTCATCCTCTTGGACTGACACGCTCCATTCCCTGCCTGGCTGCAGCTCGGAACAGCCCTGGAGGCGCAGGGCACAGAGGCAGAACGTGCTCTTCTTTCAGAGACCAAGGTTGGCTCCCAGCCGTTCATTTTTAAGGAAAAAGATCTTCCATGGTTAGCTTTATCTGCCTTGTACATTAGTATTTCATTTGCAACAAATTATCCAAAAATACACGAGGCACTAAATGATAGAATATGTTTTGGAGGGGGGTGAGGAGTGGAATTTGTTAATGCCCTTAAGAACATCCTCCAGTCTTTCATTTCTAAAAACACTTCAAAGACCGAGATCCACTCCTGCGTTGTCTCTGGAAGCCCGAGGAAGGTTTGCAGAGGAGGACTGGAACACAACTGCTGTTATTGAGTCTTTTATGTCTAATTACTCATTCATCACACTGGAAATTTAGCAGTTAGTATTTTCTGTGTCATGTAAGTTACTTGGGAGTGCTACAGACCTTATTAATATTTATTGCTCTCCCAGCTGTGAGAGAGGAGCTGCCTCTAATCCCCGAAGGTTTCCAGAGAGCAGCGCTCCTCTGCCGAGCACTGGTGATTCAGCGCAGCTCCAGGTTTCTGCATCTCTGTGTGGTCTGGACTTGAGTGGAAAATGTTCCCCCTCTGGAGGGAAATGATGCAGGTGAGGTAGATAAGTAACTTCTTGACCTACTTAGGGGAATGAAATGTGAAATATCCTGTCCCCCACAAGCGCTGTGACGAAGCAGCAACAGTTGCTAAAGACAATGATAAAGAAATGTCCCAATCTTAGAGTTTCTTGAGGAGCATTAAAATTGTCAGAAACTGAGGACTTGGGGAGTATGGGGGGCAAATGTTTTGTTACCTAGTTGCCCTAGAATTGGATTTCCCCAACAGAATTGCTGTGTCTCACCCTGAGGCGTAACAAGAGCAAACATCAGCGCTCCCGTTGAGTTAACTCGAACTTCGGGCTGCGTGTCCTCCAGCAGGCTCAGCAGCACAGGAATCACCTCCTCCTCAAACACGGCGATTTTCCCCTCGGCGTGAGAGCTGTGCAGAGAGGGTGGTTCAAGTGAGTGAGCCCTGAGCTGTGCCCGCTGCTCCTGCAGCCCCCTGGCCTCTGGAGCCGCACCCCGGTGCCACCAGGGCTGTCACAGCCGCCGTGCCCCCTGGAGGGCCTGTCCTGCCCCGGCACCGAGGGGTGGCTGTGCCTGTGCCTGTGCCTGCTGCACCCACCTGCTGACACCGGCCTGAGGACACCACGCCCACCGGCCTGCACGAGCTTCACTATACTCTAGGTTATTTCAGGTGCTTCACTATATTCTAGGTTATTTTAGGTGCTTCACTATATTCTAGGTTATTTTTAGGTGATATCTGGATTTTTAAAAAAGCTTTCTATGGTACACTGGACACTGATGGGCAGCTGCATGTAACAGGATGTAGGATTAAGGGTGTTGCTGTTCCTAATTGTAACAAAATCACAAACCTGGCTGGTGAAGCCTCTTGAGATTTAAAAACCTGCTAAATCAGAGGGCTAAAGTGAATTCTTCTCCCAGATCACTTTTCTTTCTTTCCAGCCTCTCTAATGAGAAGAATATTTAATGTGGCCCAGCCATTGCAGGGACCTAGAACGTAGCTCATGTCCATGTTTCAGTTGTATTTTGCTTTCTTTCTGTGACTCAGGTTAATGATACTCTTTTCCTCTCATACCTCTCTTTATTACAGGACATGAGGAAATCTGTAGTGCCAGTTGATATGTAAACTACATCAACTGCTGACCTAATTTTAAAATTAGACATTTGTTGAACACTTATATTTTCTGATTGCAGTACAGTGGACTTAAGTTATTCCTTTAATCCATTCTCTGATACACAAATTTAATATAAAGATTGCTTTTTCCGATCCATCACTGATGTATGTGGCAGCCTGTGGCAGAAAACTATTTCTGTCTTCCATCTCAGTGAAAGTTTCTAAGGATCTCTAATTTTCTGAGAGAGCACTTTTCCAAAAGCATAAGGGAGATTCTCCCTACCTCCATAGAGGTCAGAGTTCTGTTTCTACAAGATTTTTCATGTAAGATTTTTTTCCTAGCAGTGCGGTACCAGGAAAAAATCCTGATTCCACTGCCAATACTGAAAACAAACAGAAGGAGAAGGAATGACTGATGAGCATCTGCTTTCTTCAGTGATTTATAGCAGTTAGGAATTTTTTAAGCCCCATGTGTCCCATTTTGTTTTACCCATGTGTGCATTCAGCCTGATGGTGCTTTACATGTGAAATGAGGCAGCTTCAGTGTGCAGTGGAACACAGCTGTAAATGAATGGCATTTATTTACTCCTGGAATTAGTTCTGAATTTACTCCTGAATTTATTCCTGAAAGAATTAGTTCTTTCTTGGACTTCAGCATTAGAGATGTTTCTTTACCTGATTTCTAAGAGGACCCAGGCTGCTTTGCTCCTGATGGCTGTGGAGGGGTGTGAGAGCTTTTCCTTCAGCACAGGAACAGCACCAGCTGCCAGGGCTTCAGAAACCTCCACCCGGAGGCAGTTGGAGAGTGTACCCAGGATCAGCTCCTGGATCTCATCCAACTCTGCCTCCAGCTTCAGGACCAGTGGGGGAATCAAACCAGCCTGCAGGACACCAGCAGCCCCTGCAGAGGAGACAGGAAGGGATGTGGGTGAGAGCTGAGTGCAGTTACTATTGCTACCTGCCCCTGGAATTTCTTCAGAGGATCAAAACACATGTGGGAACTCATTTCCTTACCCAGAAGTGGAATTGAGAGATGGAAACTACTCCAACATCCCTGTTTATAAATGTCATCTCAGCATTGCTTCTTTGGGAAGCTTCCCCAAAACTCCTCTAAAGAAATCAATACCAGGTAATAACCAACAAGACAATTGCTTTGATGTTCCCAGTTTCTCTGTGATATTTCTCCCAAAATTATCCTTGCAAGGGAAATATAGGAAATATATATACATTACAAAGCCACCTTCTATGCAGCCTTTCTAACAGTTCTCAACATGAACAGATGCCAAGAGAGACAGAGCTGTTGGCCTTTAGAGCTCGTTCTTTTATTCTCATGGTGGTTTCTGGTGGGGGGAAGTCAGGATTTTGGGAACTGTCAGCTTCCTCACACATTTCTTTGTAGTAGTTCTGTCAAGGCAAAAAAAAAATTCTGAACTTTCCAGCAGTCAGTACTCTTGCACTGGCTCCTAAAATATAACATCAAAGGTAGAGAGATCATAACTTGCTCAGCAAGTGATGTCTTTGCTATGAGCAAGAGTCTGATTTGTACATTTCTCACCCTTTACTAAGTCAACACTCAACAGCAATGCCAGGGGAAAGCAGAATGTACTGTCCACGAGGAACTATGTGAAAACAAAATTCTCCAGCTTGTCTTGTTGCTAAGACTGATTCTTTGGTTGCTATGAGAAATGTGGCTCCTTTCAAAGTGATTCATATATGGTTAGATAAGGAAGTTTTGTGGATAAGAGTCATCAAGGTATTTTCAAATGGATCTTCACAGCAGAGACAAGTAGGAAAGACATTTTCATGACCCTTGGTAGTGCATAAGAAAAATCCCTCACCTTGATAAGTGGGTGAAAAACAGGATTCTAATCTAGAGGTTATTCTGTTGTACATATTTCTGAGCCTTTGCTAATACTGAATAGCTTCTTATGGTACTGACTTATCAGGATCCACATTACAATGCCAAAGCCAAGAAATGCCTCGGGGTGATATTACAGCTTTGCTACCTGTGCTACATTTGGAGGTCAGTTTCTGTGAGAATTCAAATAAATTAGGAAAACCAGTTCCAAGACAATTCACATTGAAGGCTAACAGCATTTTCCAAACAAGGATTTCTCTTTGTGCCAGAAAGGCAAAGCAGGAAAGGAAAGTGAAATAATGTTCTTTGAAGCTGTGCCTCCGTGTGTCACTACAAGGCAGTTGCTGCTTTCACTGTGAAAAAAACCCAACCGACCCTATATTGTTCCCTGGAGGAACAAAAGAAATTTCTCAAAGAGTAACTCCAGCCCATTTCTACTGCTCCTGCAGGAGGATGTGATAAAGGACACCTGTACAATTGCTCTGCTGGAAGGTCCCTGGGAAGGAGCCCCAGCTCATCCCTGACCAGCACCAACCCTCTTGACAAGGATCCCTGGGGTTTGGATTGCACATTGTAGGTGTAGAAAGGTTTTGGCAGGTCAGACAGCAGCAGGAATATGTCTGGGAATTCTCTGTGCCTTATGGAATGCCAGGCAGTAGGGAGCTCACTAGTGAACTGCTCCCAAGGAAGCAGACTAAAGCAGTTAAATCATATCCAGAATTCCTTTAGCCACACTTCCCAACAGTCTTTTGAAATGGCCTGTGAAATACAGGATCTTTTAAATGCAACTTTTTAAACTCCTCCCAAAGTTTTTCATGAAAACAAACTGTATGGCCTGAGTGCATGGAATTGGGATCCCCAGACTGCTCACAGTCACCACCACAGTCAAGGCACTTCTAAGTTCTGTGTGGAAATCAGTACAAATGTCAGTTTGGGAGGTACAGTTCCAGAGGAAGAGCAGTAAATCAGATGTGACAGCCTAGGCTCACACTGCCTGTCACAACACCTGTGTGTAGCTTTGAGTCACCTGGCTCCTTGGGACAGCCCATAAGCAAAGCCCTTCTGCACAGGGCAGACACACTGTGCTTTGAGCCCAGAGAAAGCACTGCCTGATTGACCTCAACTTCCCACCTGTCTGTAACAACTGCAGCTGTAGCACTCCCTCTGCCTCCCCTGTGCTGGGACATGCACTTGGCTCTTTCCTGGTTTTGGTGCTTGCTCTCAAATACTTCCTAGCCATTTTTAACCCATCATGTTAAGTTTCATTTTCACTTTGCTGCAATTCCCTCTTTGTCAGAACTTCCTTGCTAAGTTCTCTCAATTCTCTTGATCACTTCATCATCACACAGCCAGGAAGTATAAACAGCATTCATGTTTCACTTCTTTTTGTCTGGGTGTTTCAACTATCTTTAATGTATTCCACCAATACATTCATGCAGCCAGAGCTGCTTTCACTTGCCCTTGGCTTTATTCCTTCCAGTTAATGTTTATTGACTTTCTTTGCCTCAGTCATCCCTCATTCATTGCACTTCATGTCTTCTTTTGGTGCTGGCCTTAGTGTAGCACTGCAGTCCTGGGTGTGAAACCCCAGGAAGTCACTTTGTGTCCATAAGCTGCAGAGATGAGGTACAGAGTTGTCTAGAACAGCTTTGATTCTGTACAGCCATTAACCAGTGTTTATTCTGGGGCTACTGATCTCATTTTGTCTGAACACTTGGGATGTTCTAATGTTTTTTTAAAATTGATTTTGTTTTACCAGGCTGAGTCTCTGTACCAGGAGCTTTCTTGTCTATTGTTTTTGTCAAGCTGTCTGAGCTCAAATGCTGCCGTGCTATGAGAGGGAGCTTCCCAGATACAAATATAGAAATAAAGATGAATTGTTTGACCTTGTCAAAAGTCTCAGTGTGGTGAAGAGAAAGAGGGTGGAGAGGAAAGGCCATCAACAGCAACAAAAAGAGACTACCTAACACTGAGACTGAAATTTCCACGTGGAAATTCGTCATGGTTTTCCCAGGGGAACCACAGGTTGAAAGGTCTAGGGAGGGAAAAGGGAGGAGACAAAATCAGTGGCAAATTGTCTGGGAGTCACTTGTAAAGGGGACAGGTCTCAGATCCTTGGATCTTAGTGGGTGAGCCATAGGAGGGGAAGGTAAGCTGGGGTTTTGAGTGGTCCTATACTGAAAGTACAGTGGCAAACTCAGGATATTGACTTTTTCATTAAAATACTGCCCTTTCAAAAGGGATTGGTCTATTGCAGAGAGTGTTCTAGATACCCTGGGCCCAGTGAAGTAGTTGGGAAAAATGTTTTCAAAATGCAAATAGTTGCATTTGCAGCTGCATAGTTAACGTCATTATTGATCTGTTTTTCTGAGAACTTGTAATCTTCCCTTGGGCTGCTTTTTATCTGAGCACTCATCTCTTCCTTCTCATAACTGTCTGGCCACTCTCATCCTCCATTTCCTGATTTTTTTTTCAAATAGGCCCAAAGAGGAGTTGCCATTTATTCTGTTCTTTCAGTATGGCTGCAGGGCATGTAAACAAGTTAAATTTAGTAGAAGATGAAGGAGTTATTTACAGTACATAAGAATGGTGTTTTGTTTTGATTTTTAATTACATAAATCAAATCACATTGCAAATCCTTTTCCTTGAAAATGTTGGTTTTCAACTCAAAGTGGTCTGGTCTGAAGCATGTGCCTCATGCATGGCCACAAAGTGATGATTGGTATAATAGAACACAGAAAAATAATATGGAAACCCAGATTCTCTGGAAGATGAATCTCTGTTGGCACCTTGGATGTGTCCCTGCCATGGTCACACAAGTATTTGACAGGCTCAGCAAAGGAATTGTGCTTAGGAAGGGGCACAGAGGGAAAGCAAAGCAGAGGCATGGGAAGGGAATCTGCTGCCTGGCACCACAGGCAGCTGGAACAGCCCTGGGGGAGCTGGCACAGCCCTGGGGCAGCTGGCACAGCCCTGGGGGAGCTGGCACAGCCCTGGGGGAGCTGGGGCACAGCCCTGGGGCAGCTGGCACAGCCCTGGGGCAGCTGGGGCACAGCCCTGGGGAGCTGGCACAGCCCTGGGGGAGCTGGCACAGCCCGGGGGGAGCTGGCACAGCCCTGGGGCAGCTGGCACAGCCCTGGGGGAGCTGGCACAGCCCTGGGGCAGCTGGCACAGCCCTGGGGGAGCTCGGGCACAGCCCTGGGGAGCTGGGGCACAGCCCTGGGGGAGCTGGCACAGCCTGGGGGAGCTGGCACAGCCCTGGGGGAGCTGGCACAGCCTGGGGGAGCTGGGGCACAGCCCTGGGGGAGCTGGGGCACAGCCCTGGGCAGCTGGCACAGCCTGGGGGGAGCTGGCACAGCCTGGGGGGAGCTGGCACAGCCTGGGGCAGCTGGCACAGCCTGGGGCAGCTGGCACAGCCTGGGGGGAGCTGGCACAGCCCTGGGGCAGCTGGCACAGACTGGGGGAGCTGGCACAGCCCTGGGGAGCTGGCACAGCCCTGGGGAGCTGGCAGAGACTGGGGGAGCTGGGGCACAGCCCTGGGGGAGCTGGCACAGCCTGAGGGGAGCTGGGGCACAGCCCTGGGCAGCTGGCACAGCCCTGGGCAGCTGGCACAGACTGGGGGAGCTGGGGCACAGCCCTGGGGGAGCCACTGGATCCTGCCTGGACTCCCAGAGCAGCAGCTCTCCTGCTTGCCCTGCAATAGTAAATCAGCATTTCAGAGGGAAGAAAGGGTTTGTTACCCCTGTGAGTGCCCCATACGTGACAGACACCGGCCATCAGTGCTGGGTGATGCCTCCTTGGTGCCAAGAGTGACACTTGGAGTGACAGCTGAGCACAAGGGATGCTGCCCCTGCACACCTTCCTTAATGACTCCTTGCTCACTACTGTTTAAATGGAAAAAATATAATTTATTCTGGGAAAATCTCTGAGTCACCTGTCACAAGAGCACAGTTTATGAACCTTGTAGTAGCTTATTTAATGCTAAGATTCAGCATTTTGGTTCTCAGTGCTCCCAGCATTATGGCTGTGTCAGGGAGCAAATT